TCTGTGAACACTTGGGAAGTGGGTAGAGATGGGAGAAAAATTTGGTCTCAAGGCTAAGAATATGGCTCAGTGGTAGAGCATTTGCCAAACAAGCACGAGGCCCTGGGTTCAATCCCCAGCACCAGAAAAACAAAAAGTCTCAGAGGTCTCACCATGTTAAATTGGTCATTTCTGATGAAAAAAAGTAAAAAATAAGAATACAGTATCTAAAGATACCTTAAAGCTAAAAATAAAACAAAACCTGAATAGCAAGGTTTTTGTTTTTTTGGCGAACTCCTCTTGGAATCACCTTTCTGGTTTGGCTGGTACTTTGCACAGAGCAATGAGGTTTGCCATAGTAGAGTCTTTCCCTGGGCTCTGTTTGGCTCTCAGTAAAGCAGGCCCATTCCTCTTTTCCTCCTCTATGGAGAGGGCAATAGGGACTAGGCTGGAAAATTACCTTCCAAAAGTGAGAAGGGAATTAGATTGCTGCTTTAGAGCTATGAAATTATTTGGAATGTTTTATAAATGGTTACTGTAACAACAAAAAAAGTAACTAAAAAATGTGTACATCACAACATGCTTTTAAAGACACTTTGCGTTGTGCTCACATTCCCTTAAATGCTGTTCCCAAAGGTGCTCAGCCTCTAGCCCAGCTGGAATCTCTGGGAAGAAGCAGACACAGTTTGGTGAAAAAGACAAGGGGGTAGGGGGTCGAGGGGGTGTTGAAAGAAGAAAGCAGCCTTCCAGTTAAAGATCAGCCCTCAGTTTCAAGGTCAGCTTTGGGCTGGCTGGCCTCAGGCGGAGTCAGGGTCAGAGGGAGGAGCAGCAGCAGGGCGGGACTGGGGAGCTCTACATCCCATTCAGGTCAAGCAGAGTCTGGTCCAGCATCCTTTGTGTACAGAGGTGCTCCTCTTTGGTGCATTTCAGCTTATCTTCCAAATCATCAATTGTCTTTTCCATTTTGGCTACCGATCTCTCGGCAAACTCAGCCGCGGGTCTCTGCCTCCTTGAGTTTATCAGTGAGAATCTTTATTTCTTCCTCATATTTGTCTTCTTTTTGAGAGTACTTTTCTTCAGCAGCATTCAGACACTTCAGGTTCTGGTCCATCAGTCTGATCTGCTCATCCATCTCGGCAACGGGACTCTGCCAGCTCAGCTCGTTCCTCTGTGCGTTCCAAGTCTCCTTCAATAATCACTAACTTACGAGCCACCTCTTCATACTTCCTATCTGCTTCTTCTGCAATGTGCTTAGCTTCTTTGAGTTGGATTTCCTGGAGTTCCATCTTTTCTTCATCTTTTAGGGCCCGGTTTTCAATAACCTTCATACCTCACTCTCATCAGCAGCTTTTTCTGCTTCCTCCAGCTTTTGCAAGGCAGTAGCAAGGCGCTCCTGAGCACGATCCAGCTCCTCTTCTACCATTTGGATCCTTCGGTTCAAGGAGGCTACCTCAGCCTCAGCCCGTTCCCGGGCCCGCCTTTCTCCCTCAACTTCCCGCTGGAGGCGCTCAGCCCTCTCCTCGGCATCATCCATTTGCTGCTGCAGAACCTGGATCTTACGCTTCACCACCTCGACGGCGGTGATCCCGGCCATGGTGCCCACCCAGCGGCTTCTCGTTATCTGCCTTCTGCCTCCTCTCGGCGCTGCAGCCGCTTCTCCCCAATTCAAACATTCTTGAACTAAGACAGGCCTGGTGGTGTGTGCCTACAGTCCTCGCACTTGGGAGGCTAAAGAGGCAGGATCACTTGAGCCCAAAGTTTGAGACCAGCCTGGACAACATAGTAAGATATTTTCTCAAAAACAGAAACAAAAACAAAATCCCTGGACTACAGGGTTTGGAAAGCTTTTGGGTTGTTGAACACAGGGAGGTACCTGGAGGATACTGTGCCCAGAAAGAGCATGGAAGCTCTGCCCCACTTGCCATACTCTGTTCTATGCATCTTTTCTATGGGGCTATTCATTCGTGTCCTTTGTAATATCATTTATAATAAATGGGTAAGCATTAAGTGTATCTCTGATTCTGTGAGATGTTCTGGCAAATTAATCAAATCAAAGAAAAGGAGAGCATGGGAGCCCCTAATTTATGGCTGGTGAATGAGGAATATAGGGCATAACCTGGGACTTGTGAACAACATTTGCAGTGGCAGGACCCAGTCTTATGGGAGTGTGACCTGTGGAATTTCCACTGTCTCCAGGTAGACAGTGTCAGAACTGAAATTAATTCTAGGATGTGCATTTGTGTTCACTGGGGAACTGCTTGTGTTTTTCTGCTTTCAACACATCTGGCATCTGTTGGTGTTGTGGTGACAGTGTAAGAGAAGCATTGTGCTAAACCTCTTCTAAAACACAATTACCACCCAAAGAACTGGGTTTTTCAGGTCTAGTGCTCATCCCCTTGTATCGTGTTGATCTTTACACTTGGCCTATGAGATACTCATTACTCTGCAGCTATTGTTTGTTATCATCTAATCAAATGCCAGATGGAGAGATAAAACATCAGTGCTCCTGTTAGTCTAGATTCTACAGGAAATTCCATCTTGAGTCTTAATAAGCTAGAATCTTCATGTTCCAAATTATCACCTTTGGAGTGTTTCCATGTACCATGCCAGGAAGTCTGTGTCTAGATATGAATAACAAGTAGAGAGGCTTAATAGACATGATTCCCTAAAGACTAGAACATCATGCATTGGGAATTTCCTGGATCTAAACAAATGGAGCACAATGGTTTGACTGTGGTTCGTCCTATCCAAAACTCATGCTGATACTTAATCTCAATATTAGGAGATAGGATTAGATAAGACCTTTAAGGGTGATTAGGGCTCTGCCCTCATGCACTGGTTAATCCATTCATGCTACTGGTAGGTGAATAGGTTATCTTAACAGTGTGTCTGGCTGGGGCTGGTGGCGCACGCCTGTAATCCCAGTAGCTTGGGAGGCTGAGGCAGGGGGATCGTGAGTTCAAAGCCAATCTCAGCAGAAGTGAGGTTCTAAGCAAATCAGCGAGACCCTGTCTCTAAATAAAATATAAAATAGGGTTGGGATGTGGCTCAGTGATTGAGTGCCCCCGAGTTTAATCTCCAGTACCAAAAAGAAAAAAAAAAGTGAGTCTGCCATGAAAGCTAGCTTGGCTTCATTTCTAGAATGCTGTGCCATCTCAGGACTCTGCCAGCAAGGCTATCACTAGATGTGGCCCTTCAACCTTGGACCAGAACCATGAGTCCAAATAAATCTCATTTCTTTATAACTCAGTCTGTGGTATTGTGTTATTTGCAACAGAAAACAGACTAAAACATGACATGTTTGTCAACAGAACACCATAGGGAACACAGTACATGTCAATGGTTATAGTATGAGTCTTGGCGTCTGTTAATTCTGGGTTATTATTCAAACTTAAGACACTTGGTTCTATAATATTAGGCATATTACCTACCCATAAAATGGGAATAGTAATAGTACTGACCATATAGGGCTCTAAAGAACATTGAATACAAATGTGTAGGATGTATAGGTACAGTGCTAACAATAACTCAGTAAATTAGCTCTCACTTTTATCATTATTATCAGTTTAGCCTCATCTCTAAGAAATTCTCTAAACAGTTGCCAAAGGAAATACTTGAAGCAATGAATTGTATTAACTATAATTATACTAATTATATTCACTAATGAACAAGTCACCTTTGACTTATTTATTAAATAATTCTTCTAGTTAGTGTGTCTACCAGTGTGGGTCTCCTTCATGATGCTATGTTACAAAAGAACAGGAACAGCAAAGCCATCCCACAAGTGATGTCTTTGTAGAAACAGATTTTAAGTGGGGAGAAGCTGCTGACATTTGACAGGTGAGGCCGATTGTCTCACAGTTGCATCTGACCAGCTTTCCCTCCAGATATGATTAGACAAATTATGGATTTACTGTAAATTCTACTCTGAGTTGTACTGTAAATTCTGAGTTGGAATCTGGGGAGGAAATCCTTCATTTCAAGTAAGCAGTCTGAAACTCAGTGACCCTGTGACTAGTCTCTCCTAAATGTCCAAATACGGGGGCATTTTTTCTAAGAGTCCTTAAAGCAGAGTGGCTAAAAAAGAGCTAAAAAGTCTAACTGCCAGATATTGAATCCCAGCACAATTATTTAATACTTTGTGACTTCAGTGGTGAAAGAGATTCCTGTGTCTGGTAGTAAGTATATATTGGCTGTTAACTTTTATTATTATTATATTTTAAATTCTGGAGTGCAAAGACCTCTTCAACTATCTGAATGAAGGGACTTGATGTATTTGTCTTTTTCTATTTGGCAGCGCTGGGGAATGACCCGAGGACTTAACCCATAGTAGGCTGAGCTACATCTCCAACCCTATTCATTTCTTTTTTATGTCTGGTCCTGACAATCAAAAACTGGTAGCCAAAAGAATGAGTGACCCTGCAAGCAAATGAATATCAAACTAAGAGAAACTCAGAAGACCTGACTTTAAATTTAAGAAAATAAGAATAATCTTTTCAGGTTATTGATGAAATCATCTAAAGAGTAATATCAGAAGATTAGTCTTCTCCTTAGCTTCTTTGAGTTCTATTCTATTCCTACATAATGAACCTTCACGGTTTTAACCCACATCACCAATCTGACAGGCATTAACTACTTCTGACAAATTCATAGGCTTCTGTTGGCTCTAAAAACTTCCCCCTAAGTAACAAACAGTTATGTTTATGGTTTATTCCAACCCCAAAGATAACTGGGTCTTGCACATGCTAAGGAAGATTTTACCCTTGAGCTATCCTCCTAGCCCGAGCCCTATGCTTTTAATGTTTCCATGAAATTTTTACTTAAGGGGTCTTAAAATAGTTTCTGAGATTAGTCCCTCCTCAAGCAGCAAATACTATTCGAAACAGTATTTTCTATTCTTGTTTTGGAAAATTATTTTAAATATTTGAAGAAAATATAATTTGTCAACATTCTTCCCCTTCACTTCATTTTCCGAACCTCTCCACGTAACCAAAAGAGAATTCAACACATACGCCTCTCACCTCTAACAGTTCGTCTCCAATTCGCATTCGTCCATCCATTGCAGCGGGTCCCTCTGGGTTAATTCCTACCACAAATATGCTCATCCGTGTCCTGTCTTTATTGCCGGCAAGGCTGAGTCCCAGCCCATTCTTATCCTTTTCAAGTTCAATAATGTGCAGTTCTCCAGGTAGGTCTGCATACCTTTGCCTGATTTTTTCTGTGAGGGGGGGAAAAAAGAGTAAGTTAAAAAATTAAATAGAGCAGTTGACTCTGTATTATGGAGACACCAGCATTTCCCTGGCGTTCTCCTCTCCAAGGGTCACTCTTTTAGAATGAAGTAATTAAGGGTAGTGCTTAGTTTGGATCTGAAATGACCCCCAGAGGCCCATGGGTTAAAGGCTCAGTTCCCGACTAGTAGCACTACCTATAGGTGGTGGAATGTTTTGAGAGGCGGGCCCTTGTTTGTGGAAGTTAGGTCATCGGGGGCAGCCCCTGGAAGGGGAAATTGGGACCCAAGTCTCTGCCTCTCTCTCTTTCATTTCCTGGTCACCATTAGGTGAGCAAAACCCCCACTATGTGTTCCTATCATAATATACTGTGCTGCTACAGGCCTTAAAGCAAGGGGCCAAGTGACCATGGACTGAAACCTCTGAAGCTTTGAACCAAAATAAAAATTTCCTCCTTATAAGTTGATTCCCTCTGGTATTTTGTCTAATACAGTCAGCATGGCCTAAGAAGTTCAGCTCAACAGTAAAAACCTCATGTTGTTCTGGTTCATACTGGCCTAGACTTTCCATGGATGGATTTCTTATTTAAGATGGTCAATACACTGCGGATTCTAGCCTCATTGCCTCCAAAAGGGGGAAACAAAGGCTATTTCCTGAGCAAGCAATTAAAATGTTGGGTCTTAAAGACACAATGCTTCCTCAGTCATGGCTTCTACTTCATGCATTCATGGTCCAGCAGGAAAGAAAGTCAACAATTTATTCTAAATACACTGAAAACATATTTACTCTAAAATATATTCTTGGCATAATGAATCCCACTATTATATATCATGACAAAACAATAAAAATAAATATATTCTTTATATAAAGGGTACAAAATAACATTGGGTTAGGTGATCAAAAGCAAGGGAATTAGGGATGTTGGTTTTGCTGTTGGATCTAAATGCAATCCACAAATCTCACATTTACTCATATCCATAAATCTATACAATGTTTTATCTTTACTTCTTTGTCTCGAAAATGGGCATGATAATACTCGTTTCCTGGATGTTGGGGAAAATTAAATAAAGTATACGCTGAAGGACTTAACTGTCCACGGTTGGCAAGTGTTCCTTTTTCTCATCTCGTGTCTTACCCTGCTACCTCTCTCTCCTTTATGGTCTAACCTACATTTTAGGATTTGGCCTGCTACATCTCACTTGTGCTGGTTCAGTGCAACAAGCCACACTACAGGACCTGCTTAAGGCAGGTTTTGCGGCCCATTCTACTCAGGCTGGGTGTGTCCCCGAGCCTAGAGACTACGTGAATACTGAGGTTTGCAGCCACGGTCTCATCTGCTGCATAACAAATTGCTAGATTCCAACCTTCCTGGAACTTTCCATGTTCAGTCTAATGCTTCACTTATATTATGGTGACCCTCTTTAGGAGGGGACCTTGCTAATTAAAAGCTTAAATCAAATAATTAGTCTTAAGGTAGAGGAGAAAGGAAGACAGCCTCCTCCATTGTATCACTTTATCAACCTTAACAAACATGGTTTTATAAGTAGATAAACTTAAATCTGTAAAAACAATTCTATGCATAGATTTATATTACAAGAACTAGCATAAGAGGCTGCTTATTTAAGATAGAGATTATATCTCTCTGCTTTAGAAGAGAATCTTAACTTCCAAGGACAGCTTGTTAATAAGAAACATGTAGTAAAATACAGTAAAACAAAGGACTTGTAATGTCATAAAACTGTCCTCTACATAGGAAAAACATTAAGTTGTATTCACAGTGAGGTAAATTACCCTAACACATTTTTGTTTTTCAGCTACCAAGAAAAAGATGCTAGGTGGGAACTTTAGCAAACAAAGATCTACATTATCCTCAAGATCTTTGCACAGCGCCAATAACACAACAGATATTAAACAACTTCAAGTACTTAAATAAAAGGTCTGACTACCACAATTCCTGGGCACCGAGAAAAATTAATTTATTAGTGAATGAAGTTAGTGAATAAATACTACATCAATTGTGGTAGTGATAATTGCTTTTAGAATTCAAAGACTAATATGGCTTAAAAAGATTTCTTGGAAGAGTCAGAATTTGATCACGAGAAGACTCCTGGTGGGTGAGATGACAAGAGAAAAAGCACACGAGCAGGTGAAGTGAGGAGGGAATGAGGCAGCACTGGTGGGCTACAAATTGGAATCTCTTTGGGTTAGTGGTGGGTGATAAGAAATAAGATTGAAAGGTCAAAAGGTTAATCGATAGATTGTTTCCAGTAATAATACTGCAGTTTAGGGGTTGTGCACAGGTGCTTTGGGGTAGAGATGGGGCCTTGAGAAGAGGTTTGATTAAAGACCATTTCCCCAGAGCACTTACACTTGGCTGCTTTGTTTATTGAACTTAAAGGGCAAATTGGTTAAGGAATAATATCAAAGCTAAGAAAAGACCACGAGACAAGCATTTTAACACACCTCTTTTGGAAAATAATAAAGTAGAACATTTTTTCTAAGAAAGATACTGAAGACTTTAATAAGACAATAAGCTCAAGATAACAGATAAAAGAATTCTACAATTTAGACACACAAAATGCATTTTGGGAAATCACACAAAGAACAATTATAGAAATGGACTGTGTTATTTGGCCATAAAAGAAATTTCAGTAATTCTCAAAGAAATAGTATCAGACAGATTTCTGTTCTTGGAATATGGGACAATAAAACCCAAACACTACAAGTTAGTAATAAAAAAGATATGTTTAGAAATAAATTAATATTAGTAAAAAGTCCAAGATATAAGAAGGAAATTGAGAAATACAGTACTCACAATTTAAAAAAAAATTTAATTCTAGATATCAAACCTTTGAGAGAGACAATACACAACTCAGAAGGCTATTCACAATTTTGAATTATTCATCACAAAACAAGAAAAATGTAAGAAATGATAAGTTCAGCATTATACCCAAGAAGTTGGAAAAAGAACAACAGAGGAATTACAAAGAAAAAAGAAGAAAACAGCAAAGAGAATCTATTAATCATAATAGCAATTATCAATTTTTTTGTTATCTAACTTTGGAACATAATGTGAAGAATGGTATCCCAGGAATGCAAAGAGTTAAAAAATCAGGACACTTTTTCAAGAAAAATTACCATATTAGTAAACTAAAGGAGAAAGTTCAAAGATTATACCAACAAATGCAGAAAACCATTGGATTACCTACTCCTATTTAAGATTCAAAATGAAACTTTTCACAAAACAGTATAGAAAGGTACTTTTTGCATTTAAATTTACAGATAGGAAATAAAACACAGCAAGATACTTTCCGTAATTTAAACCAACAAAATTAATATGCAGGGAAGTTCTACAGATAAAGCTTAAAAAGATGCAAACTCAACAGAAATCTGGCCAAAGCATTCATACTCAAAAGTTTCATAGATATGTGAAGAAATGCTCAGATTTATTAGTAAGTTCAGAAGTGCAGATTAAAATGAGATATCAAAATATTAAGTGAGACAGTAAGTAAATGAGATATTAAAATGAGACATGTCAGACTGGCAAACATGAAAACTGGATTATTAAGACTTAGAGGAGGCAGAAAGATGTGCACGGTGGCTGGGAGTGATGATTTAGTGTCTATGCTTCAGTTATGTCGAGGTTTTAAACATCCTAAGTCGATGACAAAGCCCCCTCTTCTTCTTAAATTTGTCTATCTTGTGGAAAATTGAGACTTATGAAAGTGAGTAAAGCTTCCCCCATATTGATTTGAAAAAAGCCACACAGCCCCTTGGGAAGCAGGAGGAAGGGGTGAGCTCCATTCTCCCATAGGTTCTCTTCTCTATGTGAGGCACGCTGAGGAGTCCCCCACACTTCTGCAAAAAGTGCAAAGAAACACCACCGGATTGAGTGCTGTCCCAAGAAAAGTAAGCCAGAGAGGCAGCTTTAAAACCATGTGATAGTCAAGTGTGGAATCAAAACTCTTTCAGTAGCTCAGTTAGGGAAGATGAAAAAGTTCTGCGGCTGGATGGCAGGGGTGGTTGCACCATGTGAATGAACTCAACAGCACTGAAAGATACAGTTAAAATGAAAATTTTAAAATGTGTATTTTACCATAACCGGGGTGGGGGGAAGCCTGTCATTAAAATACCCTCAAAAACTTGGTACCTTTATTTATATCTCTTCAAGGGATAGAGTTAGAGATTTATCCTCACTTTGAAACCACCAGCTTTATTTTTCTGGTCAATGTTTTTAATGACACTATTACGATCCTATTTATTCAATGAACGATTATGTGCTGAATTCAAATTCATGGCAGGCTTGTGAAACAGCCTAATAACTAAATTTGTTTTCTAGGACCTCAAAATCTATCAGCAGGGACAAGTGTACATAGGACTAACTCTAATTCGTAGAGATGAGAGCAACGAGAAAAATGCCAGTAGTTGAAGACACCCATCCATTTCAGTGAATCATCAGGAAAACCAACTGATGTCTGCAAACTGCCTGAATATTAGATACTGTGGCCAAATTGCAATCTGTTGGTCAGCTATATATTGTGCTGCACAACGCCAAAGCCTCATTAACATTTCCACAATTCTGCATCTGGCTTGTTCCAGTGTCATTTTCCTAAATGCTAACAAATGAGTTGTTTGGCTTTCCTTAACTTCATTTTATTGGTTTTTTCCCCTCATCTTTTGTAGGAAATGAGGTAAGCTAAATGAATAGAAGCTCAGAAAAAAAAAAAAGCAAACCCTGGAATATTAAAGATGAGCATATTTGCATAGTTATGAAATTTTACTAACAATATATGGAGGACTTGCTAAGTTGCAGAAAATATGCCAATATCTTTCAATTAATTTTCTTTCCTTTAAAAACCATCTTACCAGATAAGATCAATCCAATCTGCATTCCAGATGTGGGACATAAGGCTCATGTTGAATCACTTGCCAAAAGTCCCTACATAGTCATTGATACAATAATGATGAAAACCCAGTTCTTTGCATTTGT